ATGTATTCGCAGTTTAGACCAGTGAGGTATTCAAACTCGAGCAGTGAAAACCTCAAAGGTTTTGGACCAGCAAGACTCCACAGCTCATACTTCTTCTTTATGTCGAGCTGGAAACAGAGTATGTAGTGAACCAGCCTTGAAGCCCATTCAAAATCCAGCTCTTAAAACTTGATGAAAACTCCCAACTTAGACTCCTCCAGCTCTTCATATTCTTCATCATTAAGAGCATCCCTTAGAGCAGTATACAACTTCAAAGACGGATGATACGTAATGCTATGCTGAGCGACAGGCTCTTTCCCTAGTGTATGTATCCTACGGGGGAGTTCGAGAATATTCTGCAAAAAAATCAAAGAAAACCATCTCAAACACACAACCAACCAGTATAACATTTTAATTATAAGTCTGGAAGACTTATAATTAAGTCGTCTGGAAAGTCTTCCACCTGGAAGACTTTCCAGACGACTTAATATAAGTCTACCAAGACTTCCAGTAGAACATTTGAAAGCTGACCTGACAATTCGGAGAGGATGTACTCGCCTTCGACATAGAGGTTATAGAACTGCAAAAATAGACGTGAAAAAAGAAGCGCGATGAGAACGACGGTAACCGTAAAATATCCCCAATCTTTGAAACCCTAATTTGAAATGAAAATATCCACAACATCCAACCTAACTAAACAACAAGTCGATTGAAGTCCCCAATTTTTGAAACCCTAATTTGAAACCAAAATTTCCCGAAATCATTGAAAACTCAAAACCAAACGGTAAAAGTAAAGGAAAACAACATCCATCCTAATAAAAACCCATTAAATCGGCAAGAGAAGCCTTCTATTTACCTTGGTCTTGTATCGGATCGAAATCGCCTCGAAATCGCCTCGAAATCACCTTGGAGAGAAACGGACTTAGGGTTTTCTGAATTTCGCGAAAAGTGCGTAAAAAAAAAATCTTCTTATATATGTCCGGTAAAAAATCTGGTTAGGTTTAAAAGTAATTCGGTAAAATCCGGTTTGGAGACTTATAATTAAGTCGTCTATTGATACTATACATCCGACTAAGTCGTCTGCCAGAAATATATTTACCAGACGACTTAGATATAAGTCGTCCAGACCCTAAACCCTAAAACCTAAACTAAATTAACTAACTAACCACGTTATAAAATCAAATTATACTTAAATAGAGTCTACTATATATAGAAATAAACACACTTTGGTAAATTTTTAATTTTTCAAAAAAACATTTATGCTTTCGAAAATCTGACCCTAAGAAACACATACAATACTACAACATATATTAGCAAACTCAAAACCAAAGAATATCATCACTCACTACTTTCACTCATCTATGTTAAAAATAATTAAATTTTGTTCTATCTTAATTTATATCTCTTAAAACTGGTGTTAATTACATGATTTCAATTTTTCACTTATCTAAATATTTTTTACAAATTTTTTAAATTATGTTTAAGAATAACTATACCAGACAACTTTGAACTAAGTCGTCTGGACGACTTAGTTTAAAGTCGTCTGAATAGAATACTTACGAGGTTAGACGACTAATAATTAAGTCGTCTGACAAATATTCTGGCTGGATGACTTTCTAGACGACTTAAAATATTAGTCGTCTACAAAGTCGTCCAGGCTTTTTGAGTATGTTTTAAGAATTTTTGTTCGAATTTGTGTTAGACTTCTTAGACGACTAATAATTAAAATTGGTGTTACCATGGTTTGTACATAGAGGACAAAAGGAGTTGTAGTTATAAAAGTTGATCATCCATTACAAGTCATAGGTTTAAAAACAATTTGAAACAAGGGAACAACAACATATAAGTCATCCATTACAAGTCCATTAGAAGCAGATTACAATAAGACGATAGCAAGACAAACATCCATCATTTAGGAAGAGATACGAGGAAGTTGAGGCACCATCCGCAGCATCATCCCCTTGAGGAGGTGTATACTGAATCTCAGTAAAACTAGGACCCAAAGGAGTCACATGAAATACCATGTCTCCTTCCTTTTTGAACACGAGAATGTCACCGATGCAAAGGGAGTGTGCTTGGGCGAAGGCTTCCCAACCATCGGTGAGTCTTCTTCCTTCTTGTATAACTTCTCAAGTTTGGTGTGAAGCGTCCGATCGTAGTGTCCATTTTCCTTGGTTTGGCGTGCCTTCTATGTGTTTTGCGTAGAAGGCAAGTGGTATTGTCTACAAGTCAACAAAGAAGAAGATAAGCAAAGGAAATAAACAGAGGAGAAATAGAGAGCGTGTGTATACCACACCACTGTAGAAACCAGGAAGCAGAGGCTTCAAGAAGTGAGGTTCATGCTGATTCGCCATCTGCAAACAAGAAACGAACTGGAAACATTTTAATTCTAAAGTCGTCTGGGTCGTCCACCTGGTAGACTTATAATTAAGTCGTCTGGAAAGTCTTCCACCTGGAAGACTTTCCAGACGACTTAATTATAAGTCTACCAAGATTTCCAGTAGAACTTCCAGGTGGACGACCCTAAAATGACCGTAAAATGAGAGGAAAACAACATCCAACCTAACTAAACAACAAACCGATTGAAATCCCCAATTTTTGAAACCTTAATTTAAAACCAAAATTACCCCAAATCATTGAAAACACAAAACCAAACGGTAAAAGTTAAGGAAAACAACATTCATTCTAATAAAAACCCATAAATCTGCAAGAGAAGCCTTCGATTTACCTTGCTCTTGTATCAGATCGAAATCGCCTCGAAATCACCTTTGAGAGAAACGGTGTTAGGGTTTTCTGAATTTCGCGAAAAGTGCGTAAAAAAAAAAAATCTTCTTATGTATGTCCGGTCAAAAATCCGGTTAGGTTTAAAAGTAATTTGGTAAAATCCGGTTTGGACGACTTATTATTAAGTCGTCTGTTGATACTATACATCCGACTAAGTCGTCTACCTTATTAAATATATTTACCAGACGACTTAATTATAAGTCGTCCAGACCCTAAACCCTAAACTAAATTGACTAAATAACTACTAACCATGTTATAAAATCAAATTATACTTAAATATTGTTTACTATACACAGAAATAAACACACTTAGGTAAATTTTAAATTTTTCAAAAAAACATTTATGCTTTCGAATTTCTAACCCTAAGAAACACATACAATACTACAACATATGTTGGTGAAACCTAAACTAAAGAATATCATCACTCACTACTTTCACTCATCTATGCTGAAAACAACTGACTTTTTTATATCTTAATTNATACTACAACATATGTTGGTGAAACCTAAACTAAAGAATATCATCACTCACTACTTTCACTCATCTATGCTGAAAACAACTGACTTTTTTATATCTTAATTTATATCGCTTAAGACATATGTTAATTACAGAATCCCAATTTTTCATTTATCAAGATATTTATTACACAATTTTTAAATTATTTTTAAGAAAAACTGTCCCAAACGACTTAGTTTAAAGTCGTCTGGGCAGACGACTTAGTTTAAACTCGTCTGGGCAGATGACTTGCGAGGGCTAGAAACGTAAAAAAAAAGACTTTTTTTTTTGTTTGTTCACAAGGAGTTGGTTGTAATTTCAACAGTCTTTTAAATTACTTTTTGCATTTGATTCAAGTTTGGGTTTACTTTTGCATTTCAAATCAAGTTTTGAGTCATATTTGGTAATTTTCTTTTTTTTTTTGTTTTTGATCAAATAACTTACCTCTCTTCTTAATCAATAATTGGTGTCTAGTAAATGTATATATTATCGTTGTTATACATCTTTGATACGTCTCTTCTTATTTAACTGATAGATATAATCCAAGTTTTAGGCACATCATATATTTTAAGTTTCGTATCATATGAATGAATCAAGGACCAAACCTACCGTGATTAGATACTACTCGGAATGACTTTGTATCATTCGGTTAAAAGATCACCACATCATTATGACCTTAGCGTATTATACTTAATCAGCAAATTGACGTGAGTCACGTGATACACCAGATTGAATGGAAAGGACTGTCAATACTCATGACGCACGCAGCCTGAAATTTCGTCATACATTTGTTAGAAATTATAATAGATTTCCAATTTAAGATCAATTTACGGTACAGGAAAGATCAAATTACGGTTCAGAAAACAACATTCTTTGTCGTTCACATACAAAATTATCGATTTGGTTTGTAAAGTTAGTATGAATTTGTTTATGTTAATGACAAAAAAAAATCAATTTACAGTAAACAGATTTACTCTAGTTTTTATATATTAATTAATAATTTCTCAAGATTAACCAAACATTGACTTGCATTAATATGTTAAATTTAGGCTTATCATGATTTCAATTAAAGTTTATTAATAGTAAATGAATTGGTTTGAATCTCTTATAAATCACTTTCGTCACTTTAAACTTCTAAGTTCTAATACAGGATGTCAACATGATAGACACTAATACTTATCGCATGTGATTTACAAGAGTTGGATTTTGATATATTATGGTTTGAAAATGCATGATCAAATTTAATATAAAGAAAAAAAACATATACAAAATATTTGTCTGCGCCGCTATTTTTTTGTTTAGCTTTAAAACCTCTGAAGATTTTTTAAAGCCATATATTACCGATCAAAATGTAAGTAAAGTCAGATATTACCAAAAATATGAAGGGAAATTAGACCCTATAGCCATACAAAACCCATAATTAGTTAAATAGCCAAATTCATACTTCATTTTTTGGTATGAACTCATAAAAAACTAATTTTCATTTTTTTCCAGCTATTTGATAAATAAGCCCAAATATGAACTCATAGCTACGCCAAGAAAACTATAGCCCAAAAAAGTCTATATATCACGGACATGCAAAGTATAATGGGCCTAAAATATAAAACCCCAAATTAAGCCCATTTATCTTCTCTGGTCACACGCGGTAAATTCTCAGTAGTGGGAAGGAGTTCACAGCGGTTTCTTTCACTTTTTTACATATCGTTTTTAACTACAGCTGCAAAAGCAGTTTCTTCACCTTCATGAGCATAGTGGAGATGGAGTTTACAAATTTTCATTACCTCAGAGTTCTCTTCTTCTTGGCGTTATCTTCTCACAGTTTTGTTATTCGTGGAGATAATAAAAACATCACTTCCGCAGCAAACAGAGTTCGAAACAGAGACAAAGGCTCTGTTCTTCTTGTTGATGTCCGTAGCTTTGGTGCTCGAGCTAATGAACACAGAGATCACACTAAGGTTATCATTTTAATATAATAATCAGTTTTATATTAATAGAAATCAGCTTATCCAGTTGAGATGTTTTGAAAGGCTTTCGAAGCAGCATGGGACATGGCGTGTAAATCATCTTCAAGCTCTGTAGATCTTATAATTCCAAGAGGAGAGTTTTATGTTGGTCCTATCAGATTCTCTGGTCCTTGCACTAACGTATCACATCTAACTGTCCGAGTAAAGGTGAATTCATCTCTCAATCTTTATCTCTCTGAATCTCTCTTGTTGTTAACGTTTTCTTGCTACCCACGTAAACTAAATTAGGGTCATCTCAAAGCATCAACTGATCTGTCAAAGTACAGATCAGGCGGTGGTTGGATTGAGTTTGGTTGGATCAACGGTTTAACTCTTACCGGAGGTGGAACATTTGACGGTCAAGGAGCCCTAGCTTGGCCGTTTAATAATTGTACTACTGATTCTCACTGCAAGCTCCTCCCAACAGTGAGAACACTCGATAAACCGTTTGAGATCATAAACTTGTCTTATAAGAAAATAAAATTTTCAATGTTGATTTTTCAGAGCTTGAAGTTTGTGGGGATGAACAGAACAATAATAAGAAGGATAAGCTCAGTGGACAGCAAGTTCTTTCACATAGCATTAGTACAATGCAGAGACTTCAAAGGGACAAGACTCAACATCACTGCTCCGTCTGATAGTCCCAATACTGATGGAATTCACATAGAACGCAGCTCAAATGTTTACTTCTCGCGTTCGCATATAGCAACAGGAGATGATTGTGTGTCTATAGGACAAGGAAATTCTCAGATCACAATCACAAGTATCAAATGTGGACCAGGACATGGTATCAGGTAACTCATAAATGTAACATAACCTTCCTTTTTGTTAACCTTTGTTGCTGAAATGGATTTTTTTTTTTTCTTGCGTTTAAAGCGTTGGGAGTTTAGGGAGATATCCAAATGAGAAAGACGTGAAGGGACTTGTGGTCAGGGATTGCAAGATGAGTGGTACGACGAATGGGATAAGGATCAAAACTTGGGCTGATTCTCCTGGTCTAAGTGCAGCTACAAACATGACTTTTCAGAACATTATTATGAACAATGTGACTAATCCAATCATCATTGATCAGTCTTATTGTCCTTTCTCTGCTTGCACTTCGAATGTGAGTATTACTTAACACTCAAGTCTCTAGCTACTTTCTCTACTTCATAAAATTTATTAAATGGTGATATTAATTTTAGGTCACATTATCAGCTAGAATGTGTGATAAATATTACATTTTTCAGGTACCCTTTAGCGTAAATTTAAGTGAATATAACTTCAAGAACATAAGAACCAAACGTGTTAGCTTTGAAACTAAATATCAGTTATGGCTCTGAGAGCAATGTTCTAATTCATTTTTGTTGTTGTAGGTACCGTCGAGGGTGAAGCTGAGTGAGATATACTTTAAGAACATAAGAGGAACATCATCGACAAGGGTCGCTGTGCAGCTGCATTGTAGCGAAGGAATGCCATGTAAGAAAGTGTACTTAGAGAATGTTCATCTTTATCTAGCTTCTTCTGGTGGAGGAAGTGGGAAACAACAGAGTAGCAACGGAGGAAGTGAAGCTGTCTCTTCTTCTTGTAGATACGTTAGAGCTAAATACATTGGGACTCAAAGCCCACCTCCATGTGACTAATTTTCATCATATCATGAACCTTTTGTTGTAGTTTAATTACTTTTACGCTTTGTTAGGACTTTTGGGACACGTTTTCCTCATATGGGTCATATAAAGCTGGAGACTTTTGTTAGATAATTCGATAGCAAAGGCATGTTCGTGGTATGAAGAGACATGTCTTTCCATATAGTGTAAATTTATATGGAAAGCAGAGCAGAAACAGTAGATAATGTAGCGGCGTGTACAGTAACTATGTTCTTCCAGTTCCAGTGCAACAAGACTTCTTAAATGTTAAAAAAATTTACAGAACGAACTTATCTTCTTGTATCGTTCTTGACTTCATCAATAGATTAGATACTGACAAAAAATGTTTTCACAGAGCCGCCATAAGTTTCCAAGTCAAGTGGAAGCAGAAAATTCAAAAGTCAAAAGTCAACAAGAGCATACTAGTTTATGGTTTTCTGTGCAGCTGTCGCCTGTCACTAGCATAAACACTAAAAGTTTCTCATGTTTTATAATTCAACTTGTGTGGGGTATTTATCTACAAGTTGTGTATAAAGAGAGCTCTCAAACAAATAACAATCAACAAAAAAATTTCTTCTGAACTTTTCTTCTCACCTTCTCATTTCTCATGGACAGATCTCAAGAACTCTATGCCAATGGTAAGAAAGATGCATGATAGTGTACTTCGTTTGACTCTTTTCAAGAAATCTAATAATCATAAGTGTTAACTTTTCAGGTGACCAGAACTTAGAAGCAAACCTGATAGATGTTGAGGCAACTGAATCCTCCTCATCATCAGAATCTCAAACCAAGAACTATAAGAGGTGGATTCGTCTCTCCATCTATGTGTTCTTTGTCCTCTTCTGCCAACCACTTGCTACAATTCTTGGTAGATTGTACTATGAAAATGGTGGAGAGAGCACCTACGTGGTAACACTCCTCCCACTCATTGGCTTCCCTGTTTTGATTCTCTTCAACTTCTTTTCACAACTAAGACAACCAAAATCAACAGATACAAATGTCAACCAGTCCCCTTCCTTCACAACCCTTGTATCAGTTTACATGTGCACTGGACTTATACTATCTGCTTACGCTTATCTCTATGCAATTGGTTTACTTTACTTACCTGTTTCCACCTTCTCCCTCATCTTAGCCTCACAGTTAGCCTTCACTGCCTTCTTCTCATACTTCCTTAACTCACAAAAGTTCACTCCCTTCATAGTCAACTCTCTGTTTCTCCTTACTGTCTCCTCTGCCCTCCTAGTGGCTAACACCGAGTCGGAAGACACACCAAATGTCTCTCAAGTACAGTACGTGATCGGGTTCATATGCACCATCGGCGCTTCTGCTGGGATAGGACTGCTGTTATCTTTGATACAACTCCTCTTTAGGAAGGTTTTCAAGGAGCATACATCTTCAGTAGTTATGGACTTGACTATCTACCAGTCTCTAGTTGCAAGCTGTGTAATTCTCATTGGACTTTTTGCGAGTGGAGAGTGGAGAACTTTACCTAGTGAGATGAGAAACTACAAACTTGGGCAAGTTTCTTATGTCCTGACCTTAGCCTCGGCAGCTATCTCTTGGCAAGTATACACTGTTGGTCTTGTGGGTTTGATCTTTGAGTCATCTTCTGTGTTTTCCAACTCCATAACCGCTGTGGGGTTGCCTATAGTACCAGTCATAGCTGTGATTGTCTTCCATGATAAGATGGAAGCATCGAAGATCTTCTCCATCGTTTTAGCTATATGGGGCTTCCTATCGTTTGTCTATCAGCACTATCTTGATGAGAAGCAGTTGAAGAGAAGTAACACAAGCCCTGTCGAGGATGATGGTACACAGACATGGTGAAATGTTGCTGTATGAATGGGTTACACAAACAAACATAAAAACGTTGTGTGCACATTCATGCATATAATCCTATATAAAAGCTCTTTTGTTTGATTTTGTAATGGTTCAAGCGAGTGGGATACATTTTTCTATGTACAGTTTTGAGTTCATATAAATAGTTTTGAAGAAGATTGTCCATATCACACAGTAAGCTCAGTGGAATGATATCACCAACTTCGGAAATTAACAATTGAGTTAATAGCAACCAAATACGAGTAGTATTACCAAATGTGATTCAGTCCTGTATAAAATGAGAGAGTGTAGGCGTTGTATGTATTCAAAGTTTTGTAGCAAATCTGTGTGTGAGGATGGTTCCCAAAGTCAGGTTACATCAGGCAGCCAACATAGTGAGCCCGAGGGTACTGCTTTTGCAAATGTGGCCATTGAACAAAGAACTGATCAGCCATCCTTAACTTATACAGTAGCAGTCCGCTTAATGAGAGCTTCTTAACTCTTGCTACACTCTCAACATAAAAGATGGATGACCATCTAATTCCCAACACCTGTAATAACCAAAGAAAAACAATGCTTAAATATAATGGAGAAAACGTAACTAAGAATAATCACATCCCTAATACGAGAAAGCTAAAGCAAGTCAGTCACGGATTAATAAAACGGTTCTGAAGTGTATATATATACCTTGAACAAGAAAGCGATTCCACACAGAGGAATACAAGTCCCAGGACCATTGCAAAGAATCTGAAAAAAACATGAACCGAATAACCTGTCTTCAAATGTTTTTATAAAGACGCCTTAACATAAAAATTTGAAAGCACTCAGATGAAGATGATACCACTTGTGGTCTGATCCGGATCATTAGCCAGAGAGCATGAACAATAGCAACAAGAGTAGTCCAAACAGAAGTCACATAAGACTGACCAACTTCTCTACTCCGGTAAATTTGTGCATACTGTAAGGACGATTCCTTAACAGCAGAAGGCTATTTCAAACATAAGAAGAATCAATTTCATGCTGAAAAATGCAGTATCAACCACACAAGATACCAATCGCTCGCAACCATAAGCCAGAAGCAGAAGGAAAAAAATTAACATTTAACATTATATATATAATACCTTGTGAGCTAGAGAATCTTCAAAGGAACGAGCTTTGTGGAGACTCATGTTATCAGTAGCAGCAGCAATGTAGAACCTGGGTGTGTATCTATCCATCCGCAAAACCGAGAGAAGACTCAACATCTCTGCCGTGTGTCCCCCTAAAACATTACATCTAATCAAATTAATATGTACATTCAATTGCATAAGACACTAGTATAATAATAATATCAACTCATCTTACCAGAACCAAGAACAATAAGTGTACTAAAAGACGTTGAAGCTCCTTTGGGAAAAGGTTTGCCACATCGGTATAGAACATAGAGCAGACGAAACATTAGAAAGAGTGATAAGATGATTAGGAATGAACCGAAGCTGAATTTTGAGAGCATTTTCGAGTAAAAGCAGCAATGGTGTTCCTCCATGGTCGTGTGGCTCCTCCCAAACTACAATTTGAACAAAACACACATGTAGATGAGAAATGAAATTCAGACATTACATCTGTCTTTAAGCTTTAAATCACAAAAAAACAGTAGACTTCAAACTTTTGGATCTGATTTTCAGTAATAAAATTCCCCATGGCGAAAATGATTTCAGATCTGAAAGTAGAGGGGATAGAATAGCAAAAAGATCCATTTTCTTACAGCCGGTGAAACTGAAGATCTACGACGGCGATTATAAAGGGATGATGAACTAAAGAAAAGAAAAAGAAGCTCACCGGCGGTGAGGGAATCGAGGATGGTACTGCTTGATTAAAATACACGTGTCGTTAGCACGTGACTTATCTTGTACTCATTGTATGTATTTACCAAAGTGGCATTTTGTATGTAAACCGACATTAAGAGCAATTTTGTCCGGTTTAGTCAAGATATCCAAAACATTAGTATTTCTTGAGATGACACTGGGTTTCAAACTCTCAAAATATATTTTCGTTCTCTCTTTGTCAGTGTCTTTGGCATTATTGATGATTATACAATACCACCTCAGTTTCAAAATGGGTTTACATTTCAAACCGTACGTGGAGATCGGTTCTCTCTCTTCGGTTACTTAGGTTTCAGATTATGCAGTTGAAGAAAAGAGAAATGTCATAACATGGTTGGAATCACGCATTGTAGCGAGCATTTAATCTCTACAAAAAGGATGGAGAGGAATGGATCAGAGTGATGGAGAAACTGATGAGCATAGATTTTTGTGAGAATACCCAAATCGATGGTTCAATGGCACATGATGTATATACGAAATTAAGACCAATTCATTTTTTCACCAATTTGTTTTAAGTTGGAAGGTTAACTGAATTTAGACATCATCAGCTATACAATACAAATAGATGTACAAAAGATGCCAAAGCACGAAATCATCTTTCTTGTAACACTTGCATCTTCTTTACTTGTTCATAATATAGTAAAAAAAACTTATGTAAATAGATGATCTTGTTACAATAATAAATTAATAATTTTTATATATACAATCTTTATAACTCTATACAAAACATTGTATTTTTTTTATATATCTACAATGAAATTCTTCTTTATTTTTTCTTAACATTTCAAAATATTTTGATAGTATTTAGTAAAATTTTATCTAAAACCACATTTCAATTTTATGAAACATATTTCATTTATATTATTTGATAAAGTAAAATTTATAAAATTTAATTAATGTACCATAAATTCAACTATTTTTCAAATATTTTTAAATAGAGAAATTAAAAAGATTTTTTTTTATAAATTAAAAATCCATTAATGTATAAAATATCATAATTTCAATATTATTAATTGATAGAGTTTTGACTGCAGATTATTTTCAATCACATTCAAAAGATTTATACTCATGTTCCATGAAGAATGATTTTCTATAGACTTTTACACAGTATTAACATTTCAAATCTTAGCAGTTTGTTTCAAATTGTTGTATACTGATTGTCTCTCTGTCTCTTTCTTTTTCATGGACTACCTTCAGTTGAATTCTTATGTTTGTATTAAACGAAAAGGATTGAGGGTTTATTGTCTATTCTATGTTTATAAAATAAAATATTTGTTGTCTTTTGCATGGATCTTCCAGTTTAGCTCAGCATTTTGTTCAGTTCAAGGCAAGTGTTCACTTAAGATGGTTTCAAAAGGTTTTTTAGGAGATCGAGATACAATCTAAGATTTTTTCACATCATCATGAAATGAAATTCACATTTTGACCCCAAAAACGGATTGAGTGTTATTGTTTTATTAGCTTTTTACTTGATTGTTTTCTAGAATTAATGCTTAGCGTATCTTGACAAGCAAAAACATTTCAAAATCTTTATAACTGGCTTAGTGTCAAAAGACTAGAAGTCTCTTCACTCTCTTCAACGGTTTCCCAAGCCATTATAGCTGGAGTCAAGAGAGGCTTAGGTGGAACAACTAGAGCTTCTAGAGCTCCCTCTAACATTTCAACAACCTTTTTCATCGGTGGACGATCACATGGATTGGTCTGAATACACCACAAACCCACTAATGTCATTTTCTTCACTGTCTCCGCTCCCTCTTCCATTATATGATCTCCTAATAGTCTCATATTTTCATGCCTCTCCAGATCCTCATATATCCAATCTGGAAAGTACATTGTACTTACATTAGACCTAGAAGTTTCAGCTCTCTCTCTATTGGTCACCCCAATCAGCTCAAGCACCACCATTCCATAACTATACACATCAGACTTATGTGAAACTGATCCATAGCTCTTGGAAAACACTTCAGGAGCAATATAACCAACGGTTCCTCTCGCGTCTAACATGGATATAATGCTGTCGTTTTTCTTGCAAAGCTTAGCAAGACCAAAATCCGAAATCTTTGGGCACAGATCTTCATCTAGGAGTATATTCTGTGGCTTTATATCGAAATGCACAATCTTTGATACACAACTATTGTGCAAGTAATCTAATCCACGAGCAACACCTACCGCAATGTTATATAATGTTTTGCAGTCCATCTTCGTTGAGATATCTTCGGAAATAAACTTGTCAAGGGATCCATTAGGCATGAACTCGTATATGATAGCTCTCTTGCTCCCTTCATAACAGAATCCAAAGAGAGAAATGATATTAACATGAGATGCTATGCTCATGCTAGCTAGTTCATTGATGAAATCTTCTCCATTCTCTTTTGGGTCTTTTAAGATCTTAATTGCAATATCTTGTCCACTCGAATCGAGTAGTTTTCCTTTATAGACAGTTCCATATCCTCCTTTTCCAAGAACATGAGCGAAAGAGTTTGTCATCTTCTTGACGTCTGCATAACTATATCGTTTCAACATTACAACTGCTTCAATGTTCTCGTAATTTGAATCACGGTTTCTTTTCGCATTCTTTGCTCGCACCATTACCACAACCGCAACAGAAATGATCAACACAGCTAAAGCTGATGAACCTCCTACAAGAAAAAACAAGGAAAACTTAGGTGTTATGTACATGACTGAGAATGAGCAACAGAGTTGTTGTTGCAATGAAGGTGGTACCGAGTATGGGTTTTAACTTCCCTTGAGAATTATCTGCAAATTTATCAAATGAAAATTATGATTAATAAAAACTCAACAAAACATTGCATATATGTAAATTTTTATAGAATGAAGAAAATAAAATTTACTTGTGGGTCCTGCAAATGGAGACATGGAGCTTCTGTTGTTGCTTCCCGAGCAAATATCATATTTACACAAATTAATTAGTTTGTCAAAGTAGAAACCCATTACTCAAACCAATATGTGTGTATGTATGAATGCAGACCTACTTCTCTTCTTTGGGAATGTCTATAAAGATCATGATAAGACTATGGTTAGAAATGTTTAGGGTTGATTATGATATTCACATTAAGGGTTTTGGAGACTTTTTTCTTTTATCAATGGATTTGATGTTTTTCTTTTTATATTATGTTTTAAGCGTTTTTCCTTTTGTCATTAAGTTGTATATGGTTAATAGTAATCGACAACTTACAAGAATTAGCCTTAATCTACAGGAGAAAGGAGGGTTAAAGAGAAAAGTTAGCTTAAATCTGCAATTTAGTTCTTGTGTGAACTGTGAACTAAGGTTTAAGTAACTTAGTCTAAGGATTTACTGGGTGACGGTGATTCCATGACAGTGTTTCTATAGAAACTAGACGAGATGATGGAGGTGATGAACCAAAAGATTATTCAGACTATGGATGATAAATTTAAATTGATTCTAGGAGTACTTCCAAGATCCAACACCAAAAAATATGCAGTATTGGAGATGACAACTTTTCTCCAACACTTTTTGATGCTGCGTGCAAAGAAGTTCGTGAGCAAACCGAGGTGGTGCTAGAAAATCTTTGTGAGGAGAAGTTAGCATTGCAGGAAGATAGAGTTACATAGAACTTTTCTGGTAATGAATTGCAGTTTCTGTCAGTACCTAGAAATCATCTTGGAAAAATGCATGACTTGCTAAAATTATAAAACATAAGGATGACTAGTAGAATATGCATGAATATATATAAGTTTTCACCAGCATATCTTGAGTTGGAGCTCAAGGACAAGCTCTGAGTCGATGAAAGATATAGTGACACATGATTACGGTTAGAAATGTTTATGCTTGATCATGAATTATTACAATAAGAGTTTAGAGACTACCCCTTTAAAATAGGATTTTGATGCTCTTTTTTTTATATAATTAGATGCTTACCGCGATATGCGGAATAATATCACTTAAAATATCACTTAAGGTAAATAAATTTTATATATTTAAAATTTATAATAATTTCGATAAATCAATTTTGTTGATAAAAAAATCTATAGAGAACTTTTGATGGTTAATAATGAAAGAATAACATGATTTTTTTTTTAAATTATACTAATCATTTTAACACTATATCTCATAATTATGAAAAAGTGGAAATTAAAAAGAGAAACTACTATATATGAGTTATTTTTATTTTTAAATTGACTACCATATATGAGTTGGATATATATATATATATATATATATATATATATCTAATATTTAAGTTTGAAAAAATTCTATAATATTATTTGGATATATTATATAAATTTATTTTGGAACTTTAACCAATATTATTTATTAGGTAGACTTTAGTTGTGTACAAAATTAATCAACATTGTAAGATTAATTTCAGGACACGAACAAGTGTGAACACATATCACGGAAACATATTTTCTTAAGAACACCTTTAACCTTAAAGGGGGATTTGGTGTTCTTAATTTTTTTTTGTCTGATTTAAAAATAAAAATAAAAACTAATTAATCGCGAGCCTCCATTTATCATGGGGCCTGCAAATAGTACAAGAATTTGACTTTTGCAGAAAGAGATGACATGTGGCAGCCCACGAACAGTACAAAAACTTGGCTCTTGCATAAGGGGTGGAAGGGGTAGTTTTTTTTTAAAAATAGTGGACCCAGCTCTTAAGAATCCACTTAAGAGGTGGGTTAAAGATGCTCTAAGCATTCTCAAGACATCGATATGTATGCTTACTTTTATATTGAATATAATATATTACTTAATAAAGTTAGGGTTCTAGTAAAAAAATATCTATAAATTCAGATAATTTTAAGAAATTTCAAGATATAAATATGTATATATATATATATATATATTTATTTATATATAGATGATTTCATTTGTTTCAGAGCTACAGATTTATATTCTGGTGAAGATAAAAATCATACAAACTACAATCAAATATAATATTATTTTATTATAA